TACAACATAAAAATGAACGGCTGGCAGGAAAGTTGACATTTTAAACCTTAATAAAAAATCGATACAGGGCTTTAGAATATCGATACAGTATCAGGAGATGAAATACCACCATATTTCAGTGTATCGATATTTTCTTACACCCCTACTTGTTACTGTTGTTGTTTACAAAAATGTTACAGTTTCTGCAAACGATGCAGGTAACGTTATTCTCACCTGTTTGACATGACCCTCCGGTCAGCGAGCCAATCAATGAGCAGCAGTAGCTGATGTCAAATTGGGCTGAGCAGCCCGGCCCCAGCATAACCAGGGGTCTCTGGATTCCACAAACACAGGTGGAACTAGACCAAGATTGCTAATGCTAACACGTTGATGTGTTGCTGATGGTGGTCAGAGGGTCCGGTGGTGCCTGTGCATGGCAGCCCCGCCTCTGTAAGTGTGGTCCAGATAGCAGTGTGTGAATGTGTGTGTGCATGGGTGAATGTCTGAAGTGTAAAGTGACTTGGGGTCCAAGTGGACTTGATAAGGTGCTATACAAGTTCAAGACATTTAGCATGCTGAACCCAGGTCTAAAGCCAGGCCGAGCCATGAAAACATGGCCTATAGAAGTGTCCCCTAAACCAGAAATTCTTAACCCGTTGGCCGCGAGCGCCACCTTGAGGGCCTCAAAAGAACAACAGTTTTTAACTTTGGGCCACAGAGGGCCGTGGGACCACATTGATTTTAAATAAGGTGCAATACACTTTCTCACCACTAGTAGCAGTAGTGCACCACTCAGATGTTTAACAACTTTTTAATATGTAGAAGAAGAACCTTAGAAACCTGCTGAGAATGGAAACTTGGAAACCATGGAAAAGTTTAAAAAGGCTTTATTTTCATTTGTACTTTATTAAATTTAGTTTTACAGTTTTTTTGGATTTGAAACATTTAAACATTTTTAATTTATTTATTTTATGCCCACAATTTCATTCATTGAATTTTCTATTTTTGTTATTTATGTTAAAAAATATAATTTTGTGCTGATAAGCCTGAGTGGTCTGTTGACTGACCTTTGTATTTGTTCAAATAATTGTTATGGAACAGTTTGAGGAGTTGGCACACTTAAACTCCTCAAACTGTGCCTGGAATCAACCTACTTCACATACGGGGGGCAATATTATAGGCAGAAACATGGGTGTGCC